CTTATGTTAAAAGATAGTAACACTTTTGCAAGTGTTTTGAGAAATAAATCTAAAATGATTGCTAATAGTGAAAAATTTATAGACTCATCTAAATCTTCAAATGACAACTCAAAGAATATTATTCACAATCATAAAGACAATTCTAATTATAATCTTAGTAGTTGTCATCAGTCTGTCAATAATTCGACTACTTTGCCCGTGTCGTCTGCCGCCAAAAGTTCTGCTAGTTTTCCTGCGACGTCTGCTCCTGTAGTAGACAAGCGAAACAGCGAAACTGTTACGCCTGCCAAACAAAAAACATCAGTGAAGAGGAATGGTGGAAAACGTCAAACTGAACTGTCAAAACCGTATAAACATAACCCTAACCTACCAACTACAACAAGTACAAGTGCAGTTAACACTAATGGTCTTAAGGTGTACAAACAAATACAAAGTTCTGGAAAACAACATTTTAATAACGAAAATTCTATCACAGGTTCTGCCAATACTAGCAACAAACTAAAAACTGTCAACAAATACAGGTATTTATTTATCTCAAGGCTGGCTACAGACGTTGACTGTGACACAGTTAATAAATATATAAGTGATGAAATTAGTGGTGATTATAAAGTCACACAAATGAGGAACAGATTCCCAGGCTATCGAACATTTAAGGTAGGGGTTCCTGCTCACTTGTGGGACAAAATATATTTGCCTGAGTTCTGGCCTACTGGGGCATATATAAATGCCTTCAGGTTTGCTAAAAAAGCAACAAGCACTGTTAAGCACCAGGAAATTTTTTTAGAAACTCCCCCCGACTCTGTAGATTTAACGTAGAGTCTGAAGTGTCAGATAACTCTGACACACAACTCTCTTCGCATAACAAAGCGATTGGGAACTCCTATAACATTTGCTTGCCCCAGTCATCTAATAAAACACTATCTAGGTCAGCTAAAAAATTAAACATCCTCCTGTGGAATATTCAATCTATTACCAACAAACTAGATTATCTACGATTGCTTGGGTATGACAGTAGTGTGGATGTGATTTGTTTGACTGAACACTGGGTCTCGCAAAATGATATTAATAGCTTAAGCCTAAGAGGCTACTTAGTTGCAACCTCTTTTGCTAGATCAATGTCTAAACATGGTGGGTCTGCTATACTTGTAAAAGAGAACCTAGACTTTATAATTTACGATAAGTTAAATTTGAGTATATTAGTGGAAGAACTCACGTTTGAAGCCTCAGCGGTGTACATCGTTAAGTACAAAACAGTGATTGTAAACTTCTACAGACCACCCTCAGGTAATGTTTCTTTATTTCTGGATAAACTGCATGATGTATTCTCAACTATGCATGGTGTGAAACTTGACTTCTTTTGCACAGGTGATTTTAACATAGACTTCCTGTCTGACAGCATTGAAGTCCGGGAACTTAAAAACCTAATATCTAGTTTTGGTCTTCACACTGCAATTAATGAAATCACTAGGCCTAATGTTGCAGCTGGAAGTGTAAACAAAGGTACCTGCTTGGACAATATTGTGACCTCAGTACACCCAGATAGATGGGAAGCCTCAGTTATACACACTCCTGTCTCAGATCATAATGCGGCCTTTCTGTCAATGAACATTGAGTCATATTCTAAATCTAATCCAATTTCTTTACCGAGAAAAGTTACTAGGAAATTAAATCCTCAGAATTCTTTAACATTTTTATCTAACCTTGGCCAGTTGAATTGGTTTGAACTGTATGACCATAGCCTAGACTTAAATGCTAAATTCAAAGTGTTTTTTGACAAACTGTTGTGGGCCTTAAATAGTTCGATTCCTTTGAAAACTGTCGGTTCTAACAACAAACCTAACAAAAGGTGGTATCATCAAGGACTTGTAAAAATGAAAAATGAGCTGGACCGGCTATATTTTTTGTTTTGTAATGCAGGGACTGCTGAAATTAAAACTAAGTACAACTCATTAAAGTTGCAGTACCGCAAAGAAATCAAGAAAGCCAAACTTGACCATAACAACAGTTTATTGCAAAACTCTAGTAATATTTCTAAAACATCCTGGTCAATCATTAATGAATTAAGCAACTGTAACAGTAAGCCTTTGTCTATTCCTGACTGCCTAACTGCCGATGGACTGAACTCTTACTTTGTCGACTGTGTTGAAAACCTGAGAAGTAATGTTCCCGCCTCTTCTAATGGTCCTGAGCAATATCTAAGTAATTTGACATCTTGCAACGTTCTTCCGACTATTGAGGACAACAATGCTTTTAGGCTTGAACTATTTACAGTAGAAGAGGTGTATGCAGCCATCAACAGTCTTAACAATAGCTCTTGTTTAGATATTTACGGAATTAATGTCCCCATCTTGAAGTTAGCTTCTAGTTACATAAGTGAAGTTTTGACATACCTATTTAATCTCTGTATAACACAAGGTTGCTACCCAAACAAGTTCAAGATTTCTAAGGTTATACCAGTCCATAAAAAGGGGCCTAAAAATGTTATTGCTAACTATAGGCCTATATCTATTATCCCTGCAGTGTCGAAGGTCTTGGAACATCTCGTACATCGTAGATTTTCTCAGTATCTTGAGGATAGTAACCTTTTAGCAAGTAGTCAGTTTGGCTTTAGGCCCAAACACAGCACTGTCCAAGCAACCCAGGCACTGATATCAAATTGCTTTCAAAGTTTAGAGGCCAAAAGTGGCATAGTGTTTAGATCGTACGACATGTCTAAGGCCTTTGACACAGTGGCTCATGATCTCCTTGTGGATAAGCTTTCTTGCTATAACCTTGATGCAGTTTTGGTTAAGTTCTTTCAATCTTATCTAAGTGACAGATGGCAAAAAGTCTATCTAAACGGCACTTATTCTAGCCCTGTTCGAGTGCCCCACGGAGTGCCCCAAGGCTCTATATTGGGCCCTACCCTGTTTATACTGTATATAAATGACTTACCTTGTAATATTAATGACTTATCTGTAAAAAGCTTTCTTTTTGCTGATGACTTGGCCTTGTGTGTACGGGGTAACTCTTTGAATGACGTTACAGACAGATACATTGGATACAAAATCTGCTGTTATTAATGACTGGTGTAATGCAAACAAGTTATGTCTTAATGCTGATAAGACTCAAGACCTAACTATTAGTCTTAGCAGTAATGGTAATGGTGTAAACACTCTGAAGTTTTTGGGTTTTCACTTGCAGTCAAACTTGAAGTGGTTTTCACATGTAGATTTTGTAGCTTCTAAGATTGTAAAAGGCATATTTATGATAAGAGCACTTAGATCCACTGTTTCAGTTGATGTCCTTATTTGTATATATTATGGCCACATTCATAGCTATTTGTCCTATGGTACCTCACTGTGGGCCAACAGTTTTTATGCTAACAGGTTGCTCTTTACTTTACAAAAGAAGGGGTGAGGTTAATTTGTAGTGTGAATAGAAGAACACATTGTAAGCCCCTTTTTGTGGGTCTTAACATTCTCACATTTCCATCTTTGTATGTTTTGGCAAGTTTGTTATATGTAAAAGAAAACATTTCTCACTTTGAAAAGATATCTGATGTGCACAACTACTGTACTAGATCAAAAGATAATCTGTCTACACTAAGGCATAAGTATACAGCCACTCAAAATAGTTTTGAGTACCAAGGTGTTAAAATGTACAATTTCTTGCCTGCAGTGCATCCATCAAAAACCTGTGTGTTTTAAAATTCAAACATGCTATAAAAACTACTCTAACCCAGGCTTGCCTGTATAAACATGAAGAGTACTTTGGTTTAGAGTTTTAGATATTTTAGTTGCCAGAGCCATCTTGATTGTTTTGTTTTTATTTTGACGATTGTCATGAACTTTGTACATAGTTTTAACGACAATAAATCATTTCATTTCATTTCATTTCATTTCATTTCATTTTAGTACAACATACCCACCACTGTGACGTAGTGTTTCGCTGCCTGCGCTGCAGCATTACCTGTTTTTCTAATGAGGCCTTGTGGTAATCCTCTCATATAACAAATTAACAATATAGGACCCAGGACAGATCCCTGAGAAATCCTGTGTTTTATTGTTTTTATATCAGAATAAACGTTTTGAGTGTAAGCATTGTGTAAGTGTGTTTACAATTTTGGATAATAGAATTTATGTTGAATTTGGACACGTTGCCGATTTTTTTAGAAGAAACCCAATTATGCCTCTTAAACAATTTAAACTAGAAAGAACATCAAGCAGCTTGGGTATCATCATAGACTAACCAACACAAGTAGACTTCTCATCCCATTGTAAATTTTGAAGCACGTTTTTCGTGTCTAGTTCATGTACGTGACACAAAGGCGCTAGTGTCGATGAAACTTTGTTTACATTATTTTAGGGTTAATTTCTTAATTTGTGCTTTACTGTTTAGTTATATAACTAGGGGACAAGTTATTGTTTATGATTAGATCGTATTATTTGGTTAAACGAGGTTTTAAATGGCTGTAATAACGGGAAACAAATCGTAAACAAAACACGACCTCTACATAAACCGTACATGAACTAACAATAAAATTGTCTTCAGCTGTTCCATAAGGATGAGAAATCTACTAAGGGAGTATGTTTTATCTATGGTATCATGTATGAGTCACGCTGTTGAATATCTTACTATACACTATGGGCCATATAAATTTTGTTGAGTTTTGATTTAAAATCATGCTTAAGATAGTTGTTCACTCGCACCTTATCCACGGCCACCTTTAACCGTAATCTCTGCTTACTGCTTGCTCACAATAATTGTGATCAATGGCAAATAACGTTTCTAAATTCAGTTTTTTCCTCTCCCCCTTCACTTGATACAGTAGTTTTCTCGTCTTCTCATGCATACGCCCGCAACTGACCACTGACCTGATTGGCCAGTGTTGTCAAATTATTCCCGCTAAAACTTTGTATTTATTTTAGCCTATCTTTTATAGGCCTAATCTAATCCTATATTTATTTAGTTTTGTTGTTTTGTTGTATGTTGTTGGTTCTCTTCTAGTACTACTTACTATTATACTATTATACTTACTATTATTACTACTACTGTAGTACTGGTATTATTTCGTTTTGATTGAGAGCTGAGAGAGAGCTGGATGAAATAATTATTTGTTTGTAGAGTTATGTGATTGCTGTGAAGTGTGAAGTGTGTATTGTAGTGTTACTGAAACCATTGACTAGGCCTACATGCTGAAAGCTGAAACTGAACTGAAGGAGAAAGTATATAAATTAAAAAACAAGTGCCTGAAGCAGAAACCCTCCTATGAATAGACCTATGAAAGCCTATGAAAGTTCTTAAAATTAGGCTGTACCTAGGTACAGTTTCTTAACTGGGCTAAGCTACTTAATATCGATTGAAATTATCGATTCAATCAACTTAAACCCTCATTTGATTTTTTCATTATCAGCAAGTTTGGTTTTAGTTTAGGTTATGACAGTTTAATTTTATAATTGATATTATAGGCCCTAGCCTAGTTAAAAATATTGAAAATATTGAAAATTAAGTTAATCGATAGTTTCAATTGAAACAGATGTCAATACATTAGTTTAAACAAAAATTAAATCCCAGCTGTTTTGTTTGGTTTTGAAATGTAAACAGTTTGCATGTTTTTAAAAATAATTAGAAACCCGGCAAAGAAATGTTACCTATAGGACACGACGGGAGAAAAGTTTTACATTATATTTTCGTTGAAACATGTCAAGGACCCGACGACAAAGAAATATTGCCGGTCGGACACGGTGAGTCAACATAATGCAAAACGTAAGGAGCCCAGACGAGGAGCTGGAACAGTTAGTGGCAACATGTACTTACAAAATTACACTGACAATATACACCGACAAATACAAGAATTGAGCAGCATTCACTTGGCGAGATGGCATTAAAATGTCAGAAATGTGGTGCGCTACATTTTAAAGAAGAACGAAGCGAAGGATTTTCATCCTGCTGCCATAAAGGAAAAGTGAATCTTCCTACCACCATACCGAGAAATCTCCAGAGCCTACTTAATGGAGCAAATCATTTGAGCAAAAACTACAAAGAGAACATTAGATCTTACAAGTTTGCGCTCGCAATGGTCAGCACTCGAGCTAAAATTGAAGAACATAACGGTGGAAGGCCTTTCATGTATAAGGTGCACAATTTATCACTCAATTGGCACCAACTTGACCAACACTTGGTTGGCCTTTCAACCGTCAGAAGGGGAGCATCCCACATATGCCCAAATTTATATCTACAGACGTCAAAACCGCTGTTCAAGGAATAATGCTAAACAAAGCTAATGGTTCTTGCAGCACTGAACTCATGCACATTTTGACTCAACATTTGGTTGATTTTAATCCATACGCGCAAGTTTTCAGCATATTTAGTTCCGTCCTGCAAAATACTCCTAATGAACAGCAAAAGAACTTAGAATGCATATAGCCTATATAGCCAACGATCGAGCTCAAGACCAACGTCAATAGAACGACGTAACTTCTATCGACATTGCTATAATATCCTAATTTATTATTCGTGCAAATTCGCACGGGTTCACCTAGTATAATTTGAAAGTTGGGAGGGTAGTCTCCGTTCAGTATTTTGATGCAAGTCGGTTTGCCTGGGTTTTTATTGTTTGAGGTTGTTTTATTTGTTTGTCCTGTACCATAAAAACTTTCAGTACCTTGTAGTTGACCGATAAAAATTTCAGATAAAAAACATTTAATATAGCCTATATAGGTAGGTAATACTTTTCTTCTTAACTAACTGCAACTTGGTTTTTGCTCATTTGTTAGGAAAAGCGTGTGATTTTACAATTTAAAACAGCCTAAAGGATCTTGTTGATCATAAATAAAACCGTATTTAAGTAGAAACACGACAATAACTTTGTTTTAGCCAACTAATAATATGTTTCTCACCTGTTTGAACAAATGGAACTGACATTGGTGGGTAATAAATTGAAAGTATGACATTAAAAATTAATTTCAAATAAAGATGAAGCGGAACAACGGGAGTGCCTAAAACGCTGACAGACTGACTGACAATGGTATTACTCCATTAGACACATAAACGATGCCACAGAGTGCCACAAACGACGTACACTATTGAAATTTGAAATATGTGTAATGGGTGGAGATATTGATCTTCTGTATAGGAATATCAATACTATATATTAACCAGAAGTTCTTAAAAATGAATTTAAGATTATTTATAAAAAGAGTGCCACAGGTTGCCACAAACGACCTACAGTATTGAAATTTAAAATATGTGTTGGGAGAGAAAATATTTATCTTCTATAAAAATCTGAACATTGTATCTTAACCGGAAGTTCTTAAAAACGCACCTAAGAACTATTCATAAAAAGAGTGCCACAGACTGCCACAAACCACTTACAGTATTGAAATTTAAAACATGTGTTAGGGGGGTACATATTTATATTCTACGTGAATTTGAACAGTGTACATTAACCGGAAGTTCTTAAAAACGCACCTAAGAACTATTCATAAAAAGAGTGCCACAGGTTGTCACAAACGACCTAAAGCATTGAAATTTAAAACATGTGTTTGTGGCAGTCTGTGGCACTCTTTTTATAAATAGTTCTTAGGTGCGTTTTTAAGAACTTCCGGCCAAGATACACGGTTTAGATTTATATAGGAGATAAATATGTACCCTCTTAACACATGTTTTGAATTTCAATACTGTAAGTCGTTTGTGGCAACCTGTGGCACTCTTTTCATTAATAGCTCTTAAATAAATTTTTAAGAACTACCGATTAATATATCCTATTGAAATTCATACACCTTATAAATAATTGTATTCCCAACACATATTTCAAATTTCAATGGTGTAGGTCGTTTGTGGCAACCTGTGGCATCGTTTATGTGTCTTATGGAGTTATAACATTGTCAGTCAGTCTGTCAGCGTTTTAGACACTCCCCGGAACAACTAGCGACATATGCAAGCAGTGGTAGTGATGAGTCATTAGTGGGAGCCAAGAGTGGGGAGGATTCTACTTTCGCGCAATTTAAAATATTTTTTGTTGCTTGCACCCTCAACAAAATAAAAAAAAACTCTTGGGGCCTGGGCCCATTTATAAATATGGTACTGATTTATAAATCTTCTCTTTCCAGATATTCAGGATGCAGGAGTTGATTACCTGTTGAATGACGAACTAAGCTTGGGGTTCAGATCACAATAGTGTGTATCCTTTTTCAGGCCTTGTATTCATGCAGTAAGCCTAAGCAAATAACCTTCTAAGCTATAACTAAAGTGTTCGTTTTTGCTCAACTGTGTTTAAGTAGGTATTCTAAAATAATATCAACCAATGATAAAAAAAATAAAAGTGCTTTATTTTAAAATACAATCCATACTAAAAAATTTATGAAAAAACAAACTTGATTAGGGAGGTGAATTCCTAGAAAATTGTGTGACACTTAACAGCAACGTTCTTTTGAATGATCAATTTTTGCTAGGACCTTCTGATGTACTTTCTCTATGCCTACTGTATTTTATCGAGTGCTAAGAAAAGTGTTGAAAGTAGCTATTACCGTAGGTGGCACGATAAGCCCTAGACCCGGGACCGATTAATTTTTTTATTTTTGATGTCTCCAGAGACCAAAAACACTATAAACTTTTTCGTTCAAATTGTTATGTATATAGGGCCTGTCCGTCTGTAAACGCGATAACATGAGTAATTTTGACGTGACTTTAATAAAATTTGGCTTCAATGTGTAATAAACTTGAGCTTAAATACTTTTCTATATTTATTAGTTTTTAATTTTTCTATATTTTTTAGGATTTTAATCTATTGATTATGGCTGATTCATCCAGTTTGACCTCAAAACTAACAGAATGCCTACAGCATCTGCAAAAACTGGAGGACTGTTATATGGTTGAAGACAAATTTTCATCTCAATTCAAAGTAAGTGTCAATTGTATTGTCACAGTATAATACTGGCTTCCAGCTTCTAATTAAATAGGCTTACAATTAATAGCTGGGCCTACGTACCACTCTAGATCGAGTTTATCTATTACCGTCATTTCATTACCGATGCTCTTGTCGAATTCACTTCCAAAATAATATCAAGTTTAGAAAATATTGAAAGACATATAATTGGTTTATTTTGTGACTTCTCAAAAGCATTCAATCAGGTTGACCATGGTATTCTTTGTGACAAACTTGAATGTTTTGGTATATGTGGAATCCCACTACAATGGTTCAGGTCATATTTAGGAACGAATCTCAAATGATTGGGAGATTTGGGATGGGTGAAATTTGGTTTTTAATTTGGTACAAATGTGTAAACCAACGTTTCTTCGAACAAGTTTGCGAACCAGCATGATCGGACTATAGAAACGGGGATTTGTGGAAGATTTTTATGGCATAAAAATTGTTTTTTTTTTTGCATTTTGATCCTGGGGAGGTTCAACAAGCAATACGTTGAGGTTGACACAGAATGCTATTCCAAACTCACTAAGTGAAATACAGTGTCCCTCAAGACCTCTGCTTTTTTATTCTTTATATAAATTTTGTCGGTGCTTCTGTTTGTCCCAACTCCTAACTTTGTATGCGTATGATACCACTACGCTTTTTAAGAGCTTGTCTAAAGTTGTTCAGGAAAACATGTCTTCTTCAATTACAAATTTTGATGACTGGCTTTTAAATAATAATATTCTCTTAGGCTAAATCAGAATTTTGAAAACAAACTACTGTATGTCCAATTTCTAACACAAAACAAAAGTTTACTTGGTACGTTTAAAAGTCAAATCAAATTATTGTTTCGTGCGTCTCTGATGTTCTACATCCTTAGTGCTGCAGTTTGCATAGCCATCGAATATGATTGTCACAACCTAATATTACTTAGCAATATGGCTAGTATATAGTTCCAGATAATCTTAAAACTGACCACCTTTAGGTCATGGTAATTTTCTTGGTAATGTTTTATTTGATGTAGGTGCTATGGTACCCAAAGTTCATGCCAATGATGTTTTGTCACTTTTTTGCAATGGGATTCTGGATCATATAGAGATAGACGAAGTACAGATGGCTCGTATTGGAAGTTATCCTTTAACTTTTGCAGATCGGGATGTACATGCAAACATACTAACCTCTGTGTGAGGAGTCGTGTTTCAATTTCATTATTAACTTCATTAATGACAATACCTTTTCTTAATATTACGATTGTAACTCCTTTGTCCTTTTTTGGAATGGTAACACAGTTGAAAGCTTTTCCATTCATTTTAGTGAATTTTCCATATAAGGAATAAGCTATTACCGTAGTACTCATGGTAAGACTGAACCCGGGACCGATTTACTTGTTCATTTTGAGATCCCTAGAGGCCAAAAATTCCATGAGTTCAAATTAATATACATATTTATATATTTATTTATACAGGGAGTGGCAAAATGATTTGACTGTTTTTTCTTGCCGCCCTGTCGAGCGAGTGAGTGACGGAGGGTTGTGGGAATAGAGGCGTTACAAAGCCTAAGTGCTGAGATTTTTAGTAGCCTATCCATTGAGCTGTGGATAGCTGAGCACCATGCATTTGTAGTGGAAGTGTTTTTTAAAAGTGGCAATTCCTGTGTAGCTGTTCAGTGGCAGTTCCGTAGACGCTTAAATGTGGGTCCAAGGGGAAAAGTCCCAACTCGAAACATCATTTTGCTTTCGGTGGGTAACTTCAGAGACAAGAAAAAGAGAAAAAGTCAACAGGCCGTCCAAGTCAGCCCCGACGCCAGAGAACGTTGAGAGAGTGAGAGAAGCTGTGGAAGCTAGTCCTCAGCGACCTGCACGAAAACAAGCTGCAGCTCTGCACATGTCTGGCCGCTCGGTAGAAGAGTATTACGATACGACCTGCATTTTAATTCGTACAAAATATCAACGGGCAACAGTTGAAGCCCAGTGGTTATGCAAAGCGCATCTCATTTTCAGAACCAGTGATTAATTTGCTTACACGTGACAAAATTGTCATTATGAGGGACGAATCACACTTTCAACCACGCCACACAGTCTTCCTAACTCTCTTGACACTCTCTGGCGTCCCGGCTGACCTTGGATGGCCTGTTGATTTTAGTTTCAATGCTGAACTAGTAGCTCTAAAAATACTCACCCACAGCAAAATGGTGTTTCGAGTTTGGGCTTTTCTTCTTTGACCCACATTGAAACGTCTACTGAACAGCCATACAGGAATTGCCACTTTTAAAAACACTTCCACTACAAATGCATGGTGCTCAGCGGTCTACAGCTCCATGGCTACTAAAAATGTCCGAAAGTTGGCTTTGTAATGCCCCTATTACCCCCACCCTCTGCCACTCACACGCTCGACAGGGCGGCAAAGAAAACAGTCAGATAATTTTGCCCCTCCCTGTATATTCATATATTTATATATGAATTAATTAATTTATTTCCCATAGCCTATCACAAAACATTTTACAATCATAATAATTGTTGAGAAATATGTGTCCGTTAGCATGATAACTCGAGCAAAAGTTATGGAACAGGGGTTAATGGGAGTTTTATGGGGTAAAAATTGGGTTTTCCCATTTTTGACCAAGAGAAGATCAAATTCAGCAATTTCTTGCCAAACCATTTTGCCAAAAACACAATGTAGTATATTGAAGCGTTATTATCCGCCTAATGGTTACGGAGAAATTTTAAATTCCCATGTTATTCTTATGGAGAATAAGTAAACTGTTGTAGTTAGTTTGGTTATGAACATATTTTGATCAAATTTGGAAGATGCATTAATTTCTTACAAAACTATTAACATAAAAAAAAAAACACTTTTTACCCTCCCTGTTGCAGCAAACCTAAGCACTTGTTGAACTAATTCTATTTAAATAGGGAATAAATGTGATATTTTTAAGGAGACATTTTAGTGTGAATCCAATCTGGCTATGGAAAATCGCATAGTCTGCAGTTTGCTGCGGCGGGGGTATTTGAATGGATTCACAGTTTAATTGATTCAGCCTCACGAGCAGTTACCTAGTTTTCACTGTTAACTAGGCCACTGAAAACATTAGGTACTGGTAGCTCAACGCATTGTGAATCAAAAGGATTAGGGAAAGGGAATTAGTTCCACACTTAACCCTATCTTATTCTATATAGTGCGATCATATGTATTCTTTTGTAGAACATTTTGCATTATATCTAATTTTCTGCTAAAACTATGGGAGTTTCATTATTTTTCCAGCTGCCACGTAATAAAGACCTTTAACTTGAGCCCTCTCCCGTTTTCCTACAACTTGCCCACAGAGCAAAGAATAATAATAGAGCAGACACTCTATACTTAACAGTGGTAAGGCAGTGAAGCACATTATCCGCCATCTTGTGGGGTGCTACTAGCCAAACCAAGGCCTAGGGTGCTCTCGATTTTAATTCGCCGCGCTTCACTAAAACTGCATTTTAAATAAGAAAACGATGGCCAAGAGTTTTCAAATTTGTATATCAGTTTAAGAAAGAGCTATTCCTGCTTATAGAAGTGTTTTAGCGAATTTCCCTATAGGGAAGTAGCTATTACCGTAGGTCTCATGGTAAGACCTAAGCCCGGGACCGATTTACTTTTTCATTTTGATGTCCCCAGAGGCCAAAAACACCATTCGTTCAAATTTTTATATATCTATATATAGAGATATATATATATATGTGTCCATCCGCACGATAACTTGAGTAATTTTTGTCCGATTTTGATAAAATTTGGTTTGAAGGTGTAAGGTGGGATAAACTCGAATGAGTTCGCGAACCAGCACGATCGGACTATGGGAACGGGGGTTTATGGGGGGTTTTATGGGGTAAAAATAGGTTTTTCCCATTTTTGACCCTAAAAACACAAAATTTTACAATTTCTTTTTAAACCATTTTGTAGAGCTTAAAAATACAAATAATTTAGTATATTGAAGCGTTATTATGCGCCTAACTGTTACGGAGAAAATTCAAAAAAATTGTTATTTTAAATTTCCCATGTTATTCTTATGGAGAATAAGTCAACTGTTGTAGTTTGCTTGTTTATGAACATATTTTGATCAAATTTGGAAAATACATTAATTTCTTACTAAACCACAGTACCTTTTAATATTTTACATAAAAAATACTTTTTTACCCTCCCTGTTGCAGCAAACCTAAGTACTCGTTAAACTAATTCTGTTTAAATAGGGAATAAATGTGATATTTTTAAGGAGACATTTTAGTTTAAATCCAATCAGGCAAATGGAAATTCGCTAAGTCTGCAGGTTTGCTGCGGCGGGGGTATTTATAATTTTTCAATGACTACTTTTTTTGTACATTAAGGTTTTTTAACATTATTTTTTAATTCAAGGATTTCTTGACATAAAAAAAGTACATTGCGAGTAATTTTTTTATTTTTTGGTCAGAGAAATTTTGTCAGCAGGAAAGTTGTAGATAAATGAACAAATTTTAATTTTATTCAAACTTTTTTTTCCTCAAGTGTTTGGTTTCGTCATAAATTGAGGTGAAAGAAAGCGACAAAACTGTCTTTCGCGCTGCCGGCTGCCGCGCCACACCCGACCATAGCTGTGCAGTGTTTTTGTGTATAAACAGCACCCCCTAACGTTCTACAATTCTTTTATATCTCTTAAAAATGTAGTAAATGTAATGCAAATATTTTTTCAAGTGATAAATTGTATAATGTTATGAAATTAATAATAATTATTCTAAAATCTATATATTAATACGCAAGCAGTTTTCTTTTCACAGTCATAACTCAATAACGGCTTGATGGATTTTAAAGTTTGAGGTGTCAAATTAAAGGTATTTTCACGTAGATGTGCAAATACATCTCAGAATATTTAGAAAGGGCATCACTTAAGTACTCTTAAGGGCTAAAGTTTGGAAGGCGGCGCTATCTGTTGACATTTGATCAAACTCATTTCCCTGTGTTTACAAATAACATATGGACGTAGTTTGA